TCTTTTTTTTTGTCATAGTTCAAAAATTTACCAGTATTCTTGTAATCTATCTTTTAAAAGCAAAGTTCATATTCTAAAGTTTTCAAAATGCAAGTACCATTCCAAAGCTCTGTTTGTACCCTGTGACTGTCTCCTATTTTCCACTGGATTAATTTTTAATGTGGCATAAAGGAAAATGATTAAACACATGTGGAGTAATTATAGCATTATCCATAATTAATTTAATTTAATAATTTATTTTAATTGTTGTCCTGACTCTGCCCATCTTTTGAAGAGTTTTTCGAAGAGTTCCATGCCATGCAAAAATACTTTTTATTTCTTCTTTTCACTACTTGCCTCAAAATGTCAACTTTAAATATGTATGAATTCTCCAAAATCAAATTGAATGGGATGTGGGAGTGGCCTTGGGGAAAATGGGGAAAAGATGCTGCCTAGGAAATAATCAGACAAAAGAGGCAAAAGCCTCCAGTGGCTTCACAGTCAGTACAGAAAAAATGGAAAGAAACTTCCAGCAGGAAGTTTTGTATTTTCAGGCTTTCAAGATTCTGTTAATGTAGTTTCATAATAATGTAGATCTACCTAATCTAATCTTGTTTCCCATCTGGTTTGTCTGCAAGTGCTGACATCAATCTTGCCTCCTACTCCCTTCTTTTTTTTAAAAAAAAAAAAAAGAATTTCAAGAACAGTCTTTCCATCCTCAAGGAATCCTACTAACCACTGAGCATCTGGCAGCTGTACTGCTACAGCACCAAGAGCAAGTAGATGACCAACATACAGAATGCCATGATACAACTAACACAGCAATTGGGGCAGACCCTCGGTGGCACAGTGGTTAGAGTGCTGTACTGCAGGCCACTTCTGCTAACTACCGGCTGCCTGCAATTTGGCAGTTCAAATCCCACCAGGCTCAAGGTTGACTCAGCCTTCCATCTTTCCAAAGGGGGTAACATGAGGACCCAGATTGTTGTGAGCAATATACTGAATCTATAAAACCACTTAGAGAGGGCTGTAAAGCACTATAAAGTGGTATATAAGTCTAAGTGCTGTCTTACCCTATGGCCTCAGAATAGATAGCAGCTCAATTAATGCACATCTTCCCATGTAAACTTTCTAGAGAAGTTTAAAGGGAGTCAGGATCAATTCCATTTGTCATTTGGTATGAAATGTTTATGGCTGGAAGACTGGGGGGATTTGTCACTGATCGTACCAAAATGACTTTTATACTGAGCCTCTGGAAGGAAGTAGCTGCTAAGTGGGCAATACTATTCATTGAGGATAATTATTCAGTGTTAGATAACTACCAAGGTTTCATGAGTAAACTTAAAGTATTTTGGGAATCCTATATAGAGCTAGTTGACAGATTCGGAAGCTCAACCAGGGACAAGGAAGAATAACAACATTTTAAGTTGTTTGTTGGAGGTGTAGGGTGGAATGATTTAGCCTAACTGACCAGTTTACAGAATGGCTGGCCAATGACTTGAGAGACAATTTGGCATCCCAAATACCCTAAAACCGCTCTATCAATGTTGTGTAATCAATATTGTGTAATATCAATACCTGACTGGAAAGATTGAAGCAAGAAAGAAGTGGGAAAGGGGGAAAGGAACTTACAGCCTGTCATGTCTCCCAATGACCTCTTTGGAATACAACATTAGAGAACCCATGCAAAACAAGGTAGCCAGGAGATCATTGGCACCCAGAGAGAAGCAAAAGAAGAGATTAAGGACTATGCTTTTACTGTGACTCCCCACGTGAGGTGTGGTGGCACAGTGGTTAGAATGCAGCATTGCAGACTACTTCAGCTGATTGCAAATTGCCAGCACTTTGGCAATTCAAATCTCATGGGCTCAAGGTTGATTCAACCTTGCATCTTTCTGAGGTCAGTAAAATGAAGACCCAGATTGTTGGGGCAATATGCTGACTCTGTAAATTGCTTAGAGAGGGCTGCAAAGCATTGCGAAGTAGTATATAAATCTAAGTGCTAAGTGCTATTGCTATCTCCCAATGTAGCCAGATCATGCCTAGTAAAAACATAAATGATGGTCACAATTAATAAGGTATAAAAGTTGCAAATCAGTGGAGCATGGAACTAACCAATGTCCAGTTCAGTCCCAGACAACATCTTAGGGAAATTTCACCAGCCTCCTTCTAGCAACTCTGTGGAGGGGGGAAATCTACCATTTTAGTCAACTGAGCACAGTCAAGTGTATTCAATTACCCCTATTATTGTCACCAGATTCCAGGCAGAAGGTGGAGTTTTCTGCTCTTCCTGAAGCAATTGCCAATGTCATAGATTCAGAAACAGTACAGAAACTGATTAGAAAGTATTGACAGGCAGCTGCAAAAAGCAGGATGATTCTTACCCATAGTTCCTCAAAGATAACACAGAATGCTTATCACTTTATGTAACTGCCTTCTTACAAGTACCCATAATCCGGGGAACAGAGTAACTTCAGTTTACTCACTTACAAGATGGAAACAAGGAACACTTTCATTTTCCTCACCTACATTCCAACAGTATCACTTATTAGCAGTGAAAGCTGAGTCTCCCCCATCCCAACTCCATTGCAGAACAAGGGAAGATCAGCACTGCCAGAAAAGTATTCAGACTTTGCAGATGTGTTTGGGAGAAAGAGATAGTTATCCCATGTCTACATGGGAATTAGTAATCTTCAAAGAATGTCTAGATATCAACCTCACAAAGAGATTCATCATCTCTCTCAATTCACTAGCATTATGCAAACAAATGCATCAGATTTAGTGATAGAAGTAGTCCTACTCTATGCAGAGAAAAAGGGAGAGGGGTATTTACTTCATCCATTACATAAACGGGGATCCTTATCACATGACCACTGTTTAGCACATTGTAACTTTGAACAATTGCCAAATAAGTGGGCATAACCCCAAGAATATTTGTATTGCATATATTTAGGACATTTTAAAAAAAGTAGTAGTAATTGTTTACTAAATAATAATATAAATATTGTTGGTCTCACTGTCAGCTAGATATGTAGGCTATATTATTATTTAGCAATCATGAAGACATTTAAAAAGAAACTAGCTTTATTTTCATTTTCATTTTTGCTTTTCTTATTTTCATGCAACTACTTTTATTCTGCTTTTGCAGTTTGAATAATCACAAAGCTATCCCACTGGTTATTTTATACAAATATAGCAATTACCTTAACTTTATAGGATTACCATCCTTTTAGATATCCTGCCAGATTTTATAATCCTGAAGTCTTCCAGATTTCTGAACAATTATTTTTTTGTTTGTTTTCTACATTGAAATGATCATGCCCTTGGCAGAATAATCTTGCAGAAAAAATCTGCATATTTAGACTGCATTTTTTTTACCTCCAGGAAGTGCTGCTGAATTAAACATTATAGTAATTGAGTACTCATACACTTTAAGTACCCACCTGGCATTTTTAGTATATTTTAAAGTCTTAAAGCCCTCACTCCCTTTATGCAATGAAGATGAATCTGATCTTTCCCTTTCCATCTCATTCTTTGACTGTCATTTTTACTCTCCCTTTCATTTTGCCTGATCCTAAACAATTTTTAAGGAAGCAAAAGTTACAACCTAATATAAACTGGCTGATCTCAACAGGCTAAAATAATTGCATTAATTATGTTGCCATTAATTAGGTTGCCATATAAGATTAATACTTGACATGGCAGATCCCAGTTCTATAAATTAGACTAATGGTCCTGTTGGGAAGAAAGTATTGGTCCTGTTGGGAAGAAAGCTATGTGGCCAGCAAAAGAAATCTAAATATTATTAAATAATTAATAAGATTTTCCAACCTGATATCCACCAGGTATGGAGTATTCTGAACTAAGAAAGGTTCAGTTGTGATATTGCTTGCTGTAAAAAAACAAGTCATATAGTCACCAGCCAAGATACTTACTAACAGAAGATCAGACAAATGCATAGAAGAAAAGGTTATTCATAACTATTCAATGAACAACTTTACCCCACTTTCACTGTGGAAAACAAAAAGTGTATTGCTGATACAGGAGAATATTTGTAGCTCAGAGTTGAAATGATGAGTGCTTGGTGCTCTTTAACTTTAGTTGTTTTGATGTAGACATTTCATTACCCAAACTAGGTAACATCATCAGTGCTGGTGGGGAGTGGGGTTTGCTCTCATTTTAATTTGCTCTCAACTTACCTATCCTGGCATTCATTTATTGTATAGACCTGTGCCCTTGAAACACTTTCTGCTAAAAAAAGAGGACAACCTAAGGCAGTATGTTTCTTAGATCACAACTCTCAGAGACCATCTGAAGCTTGGCAGAAATGGTAATTCTTGATTTGATTGAAAATATTCAGATATATGCTTGGAAAGTAGGCTTATTGATTTTATTTATTCATTATATTTAGAATATCTATGCAGTTGCCTATATTCTATCAAATTCTGGGTAGCTCCCAACCCGCCCAGCTCAATTAAAGATGCACCTTTAATGAACTGAAATCTCAGTGAATTAAAACAACATTTAATGTATGAGGTTTTAGTTTCATCCACCATGGCATATCATTGAAAGATCAGAAATGGCCTTTAATCCAGAGAAGTTGCACACCTGTTTTGAAGAATCATTACCACAATTACAATAAGAAGCACAAAGGATGCTTCAGTTACAAGATAAGAAGATGAACCATTAGTTCTTAGTCCTATAGCTATAAAGAGTCCACTGTCCATAAGACAATTGTATAAATAAATGTTTCAAAATGTACTCCCTTTTCTTGAGCCAAAAAGAAAAACCTTTGAAAAATATGAATTATCACAAGATAAAGGGAACAAATGTATTGTAGTTAATTATTCTTCCTGTTCTTGCATGTTATATTCTTTTTTGTTTCATTTTCATTTTTTAAATTAATTTTTCACTTTCTCTTCTCACTTTTCAGTCTAAATGTGTTTCTTTGTAACAGTCACACAGACATCCCCATGCAAGTTGAGTAAAATGTTAGAAAAGCAGAATGAGAATTAAATTACCAGTGCATTTACGATCAGTGTCTTCCTTTTTTGACCCACTAATTGTTAACTTGCAGTTGAAGTTTTCTTCCCAATATTCTGCAAACCATACATTTCTTCTGTTGTTTTCCAATGTGCGGGACGTAAAATAGGTATCAAATCCTAAAAAGACAGAGACAACAAAAGTTGCTTTTTAATAAAAAGAAGTAGAATACAAGAATATTTTAAGTCTCCAAGTAGGAACAAGGCACAAATAGAAATTGAGCATTAGTAATTAGAAAGGAAGACAGAGAGGAAGGCAGCCACCAAATGTACTCTTTAATAACTCACATTATCTATATAGTAATGTTGAGATTAATAGACTCATCTCAGGTTTTACTTTGATGGGAGAGAAAGGATAAATTTTCTGTTCTATATCCATGCTGTAATTTTATGTACAGTACTTCCGACATGTGCCTTTCCTTAAAACAACAAAATTGAATGTTATAATAAAATAGTTATGTGTACTTAGGGTACTGGTTCACTCTAATTCATAAAATTTGGAGATCTATATTAGTTGATTTATAAATTCAGCAATATTTGGCCTCTGTGTGTTGCTTTGGTTCTTCCCACTAAAACATAATGCAAACGTTGTAATGTTGCTTCTGTGTATAGCTCAGTTTATGCATTTGGGACAAAACTATATTAATGAAAAATGTATGAGTCATTCCACCAAAAGCCATTTGTTCCCATAATGTAAGGCATAAACAGAATGAAATAACTATTTTTTAAAAAATCACAATTTTAGCAAATTACCTTCAACTGCCAACTCACAAGTCAGCTTTACAGATTTTAAAAGTCTAAGACTATATCACCCAAATCACTGATTTTCACCAGGTTTTATTCTACAGGTTCCAATTTGGGTTGGTCACCAGGACTAGAGGTTTAGTCTTTCAAGCTTTTGGACTCATGCTGGAGCCCGTTCTCAGGGAATTTCTCTTTACCAGATACCAGTTTTTATATACCAGTTTTTATTCTCTTGGCATTGCCTTATGAGTAGATGATATGTGTGCTGACCTGATAAATCATATGGTCTGGATTCCTTTAGCTTCTGCTGTTTTGTTTACAGAAAAGGAGCAGAAGCAGCTTCAGAGCAATGTAATAAATCAATGGACACAACAGCTAAATCCTAGCCTTACATTCTGAATGCTGACCTTTGCACCTGAGGCATATAAAGCTTCCAGGAGAAGAAGGATTGGGGGGGAGGGGCAGAGGGAGTGGCAGAGGGATGGGAGTGTCAAATTGCAATTTTCAGTTTGGGCAATGAGGCTCTGACAGCTATTCATGGGACTTCATGCAGCATGAAAGAGCAATGACTAGCTGTGATAACTGAACTGTCAGCACAACTCATACATTACAGGATTATAAATCTTTTGCAAAGCTCGGTGGTATCAGGTATCTGAATGACTGAGCTCTAAATGGAATTCTGCTTTTGTTTTATCTCACTGTCTCTGAGTGCCTGCGAGCACCCACACATGAGTATGTGTTCCTTACTTCTCACATTAACAAAATAAAGTACGTACCTACTTGATTATGTCATGCAGAGAAGTGCAGTTGGGTCACACAGCACTGACTACATAAGTTCATCAAAGTTTTGGGAAATCATTGGTACAAAAACCAAATCCAAACTAATGAATACAAAAAATGACTGAGGTTGGTAAAATGAGGGCCCAGATTGTTGTGGACTGCTGACTCTTGTAAACTGCTTAGAAAATGCTATAAGGTGCTATGAAGCTGTGTATAAGTCCAAGTGCTATTGTTATTATGTGACCACAGTTTTTGTTTTCTTTAGGAAAAGTAGTACTGTTTAGGTAGAAATAGAAAAAGGAAACTATCTTTCTAATTACAAGAGATAGCCTTGACCTGGAATAGAAACTATTTTAGGCTTCATTGTGTATTTGATGATTCAATCCTAAATACGGTATTTACCTGGTAACATTGTATTGCTAACTAAGGCATACAAAACCTTTGCCAGACCAATTCTTGAATACAGTTCATCCGTCTAGAATCCACACTGTATATCGGACATTAACATGATTGAGCGGGTCCAGAGGTATTGCACAAGAAGAGTACTCCATTTGTCTACTCAAAATATAATTCCCTATGCCTCCAGGCTTGAAATTCTGGACTTGGACAATCTGCCTGCAGTCTGATCTAAGCATAGATCAGCAGACATAAAATTGTCTGCTACAATGTTTTACCCATCAACAACTTCTTCAGCTTCAACCACAATAATACACGGACAAACAATCGATACAAACTCAAGCTAAATAGCTTTAAACTTGATTGCAGAAAATACAAGTTCAGGAACAAAGTGGTCAACGCCTGGAATGCTGTACCCGATTCTGTTGTAACAGCCGCAAACCCTCACAGCTTCAACCTCAAATTGTCTACCGTGGACCTCACCCCATTCCTAAGAGGTCTGTAAAGGGGGTGCGCATAAGCGCACCAGCGTGCCTACCATCCCTGTCTTCTGTCCCCATTTATCTGTATTTACTTCCTTTGTTTATATTTATGTTTATACCTATACCTGCTATCTTGTACATGTTTGACAAACAAATAAATAAAAAGGAATTCATTTTATTAATTGGTAAAGAGAAAATGTGATCAGGTCAATTAAAACTGTACATTGGGTGACAACAATGCATATTTTGATGTTCAGAACTCACTATGCCAATCTTACTAGAAATCAGGCACATGGTTAAATCCCATCCAATTTTCCTCTCTTGTTCCTCTAGAAGTTCCCAGACAGAGAAGTAGGAAACTGTGTCAAGGAATAAAAAGAGACAAGGAGAACATAGAATGGGAGGAACAGAAGAACACATGAAACAAATGAAAATGTACTCCTTTGGGGATTCAGCCAAATAGTAACATTTTCTTCTACATGCCAATCCTTCCCCTCAAACAAAAAGGACATCACATTAGTTGTAACAGCCAAAAGATTTATCCTGTCTACATTCAAAGGGAAATTAAATATATTTTTTAAAAAATGTTCTTGTCTCTCTAGTCTTTAAACTGAAATCATGTTTCAATAATGTTGAGATCAATATTTGCCAAATGCCTCCATGTTGTTCCAAAAATATTGAAATTAAGCAAGAGGATTTTCACAGCAATGCATTTATACTTGGATTAGAATGACTAGTTAGAACCATGATAAATGTTTACTTCAGTTTCCACCACTGTTACATAAAAAGCATTGTAACCAGCTTAATATTTGCTTAATTAGCCAAACCAGCAATAATGTTAACACTCAAAAGCTTCCTTTTATTGACAATATAAATACCCTACTTATTTTCATTCATGAAATATTGACTTCTTTTTGCATAGCACATTTAATATTTTCTTCTTTATTCACACATAAAATATCTTTTGAATTAAAATCATGCAAGCCATTTTATATTTATTATCATAAAAAAAAAGAAAGAAAGGTGTCTTTCAGGTCATGAAAACTAACAGATTTAGATTGGTTATTCTGTACAGGTAAACTCAACTTAGAGCAATTCATTTAGTGACTGTTCAAAGTTACAACAGCACTGAAAAAAAGTGACTTATGACTGTTTTCACAGTTACAATCTTTGCAGCGTTGTCATGATCTTGTGATCAAAATTCAGAGGCTGGGCAACTGGTTCATATTTATGACCATTATTGTGTCCCAAGCTGATGTGACCATCACCTTTTGCAACCTTCTGACAAGTGGTTTTCAAGATGGCTACGCTCATGGATGCTGTGGCTGGCCACTCCTTCTTTCAGTGTATCCCTCTTAGGAGACAGGCTCTGCCTATAATAAAGACAGTGAAATCTTGGCCAGAAGTTGCTTCCCAACAACTTCAGGATTGTTTTGAGAGCACAGATGGGGACATCTTTTACCACCCTGACCAAGAGAAGCACACTGCAACTGTTCTGTGGTATATCAAACACTGCACAGATACTATCACTGTGGATAAACGTATTGGGATCTATCCCAATCAGAAACCCTGGATGACCAAGGAAGTCCAGCGCCTCTTGAGTGACAGGACCAAGGCCTTTAGGTCCGGTGATGGGGCAAGATACAGTGTTGCCAGAGCTAATCTGAAGAAAGGTATTTGGAAGGCCAAGACTGATTATAAGAGGAAGATTGAGGAATTTTTATAGCAATAACATGAGGCAGGTGTGGAAGAGATTCAACAAATTACCAACCATCAACCGACCAATGTCATCCCTGCTGAAGGGGATGCTTCATTGGCAGAGGAGCTGAATCATTTCTTTGCTCATTTTGAAGTGGAGATAAAACACAATCACCAACCAATTGTAGCCCCCACTTCATTGTGGAGGAACAGGAGGTGAGAGCATACTGAGGGCTGTGGACCCTAGAAAGGCTGCCGGTCCTGACGGTATCTCTGGCCAAGGGCTTAAAGACTGTGCTGATCAGTTGGCTGGAGTCTTTACCAGGATTTTTAATCGGTCTTTATCCTAGTCCACTATTCCATCTTGTTTGAAGGCTTCCACCATTGTTCCGCTGCCAAAGAAATTCCCTATCAATAACCTCAACAATTACAGACCAGTGGCACTCACTCCTATCATTATGAAGTGCTTTGAAAAACTGGTCTGCTGGCACATCATTTCTGGTCTTCCGAATACATTTGATAAACACCAGTTTTCATACAGAAGAAATAGATCTACAGAGGACGCTATAGCCATCACTCTTCACACTGCTCTGACTCATCTAGAACAGTGGAGAGGGGCTATGTGAGGATGCTTTTTGTAGATTTTAGTTTTGCATTTAACACAATTCTTCCATATAGACTAGTGTCTAAACTTCTGGACCTTGGACTTTCTTATTCAATCTGCCTTTGGATTATGGATTTCCTTTCTGGCTGCTCACAGAGGGTCAGATTAGGTAATCATACCTCTTCAGTCCTTATTCTTAACACTGGTACACCAAAGGGTTGCGTGTTGAGTCCCTTACTCTATACTCTTTATGTGCATGACTGCATTCCCACTCACACTAGTAATACTATTACTAAATTTGCAGATGATACAAAAGTGGTGGGACTCATCTCTAGGGGGGATGAGTCTGCCTACTGAGATGAGGTGGACCAGTTGCTTTCATGGTGTGGAGACAAAAACTTGGTCCTCAACACCAA